TCTGCAGTCTTATCCAGGCCCTTGGAGCGTAGTACAGTCTCATCTGATTTTTCTGGTTTGGAAGACTGTGACCAAAAATGGTTCTGGAGCTCCCCAGAGAGTTCAAGGTAGGCCTGGGCCTGGATCTCAGGGCCAGGTTCATAGCTTTGGCCCACACTGCCCTCCTCTGGCTGCTCCCTTCATGGGCTGAGCTACTTTGGCCAAGGCCTGGCTCTCAGCAGAGCATAGTTCAGACAGGTCACAGTCCAACATCTAAGAAAAGGTCCTCTCTCGATTTAATTCCTCAGACCCTGGGTGCCTAGGCCACTTCCAGTCTGCTTCCTTTGATAAAGTGATTCTAGAGGCTTTTCTAAAGGACCTTCCAGTCTACATCAGGCAAATAGTAGTTTTTCATGAGAAAAACTACTGCCTCTCTTTAGGATCTGAAACCCACAGCTCTCTTAGAAGCTATTTCCCCTTCAGCTAGAGGACAATCATGTCTTTAGCGAGTGGACAGCCCACTGGACTGGGCACAGAGCAAGGAAGTTGCCACCAGATCCCTTGGAAGAGGGTGGATCCTTGTGCATGCAGTGAGTGTCCACCAAGCAGGGCTGGACAGAGAAGAGGCAAGTGCTTGTCTGACTGGGCTCTAGTGCCCAAGGCATTGACCAGGGAAGGGGTATTAGGCTTTCAGAAACAAGGGGGGATTGGGTGTCTCAGGGATTGTGGGTCACGTTCATTTAGACTGTGAAGTACCCATGTATCCTGAAAATAAGTGACCAAGCCACAAGCTTATTACAAAAAGACTGAGCAGAACTGTCAGCTGTAGACCTGTTTGTGCTGTTGGGATTTCCAAAGGGACTTAGACTGTCTACATCAACGTCAAATCCAGCAAAGCCATGGGGCACAGGTGACACATCTTTCCAGAACAAGTACTTTGAGTCACAGATGGGCAGCTACAAGTAAGTGACAAAGCAGAGGATCAGCTCTGGGTCTAGGCAGAATGCAATAGCAGTGGCTGACAGTCAGGAATTAGATTTGCTTGGCAGTATATAAATAAATGGAGCTGCAGCCCATCTGAAATGACTTTGTGGAGCTGGCACCTTCCTGACACAGTGAGTACCCAACTCAGAACATGGGTCTTAAAATCCCTGCTCAGTTATAAACTGTATCCAACATCCCAAGACACCTTCATTTTTCAACCAGAAAGGTTTCCAGTGTACCTGGGTAACCAATTTTTTAGACATAACCATAAACCCCTAAATCTTGATGTTGAGTGATCTCTAAGATAGGATCCTGGATACAAGCCTCTCCTAGCTCCTCCACAAAACTGGATTCAGGAAACATCTCAGAGAGCACACAGCACATCAGGCCTCCACATCTGTCTGGAAAGGCACCGTTTAACAGCCCAGTACTCAGGACATTCACCAAGGGTGAGCAGCTGGGCTCACTTTCCACCTCTTTCTGAAGTGATTTGTGGATGCTAACCACAGGTCTGGATGGGGCTGGGTGGCTCTTGCAGTGCTTCTTTTTGAAGCTATTTTACTTTGCATGGCCATGGAGATAGAGGGGAAGGGGGTGGAGAAGGAAGTGAAGAAAGGAGTGACTCACTGCATAGCAGTGCACTTACCTGGGAGGAGAGTCCTGGCTAGCAAGTTCTTGATTTAACACAACCTCTGTGAAAAGGAACTCAACTCATGTGTGTCCAGGTCCAGAAGAATGCCCTGATCTAGTTTTCAGCCAAATTGGAATTCTGCATCCCTAAAATACTTCCTGGCAGAAGTGTGAGCCCTTATATGACAGTCACTGCTGTTTTCCTCTCATCGTTCCTCTCATGACCAGCTTCTCCCAGCTTCTCCAAGAGGGGTCTCAGAGATTTTGCCCAAGCCAAGCAGCTGGTCTTGCATGAGAGAAGCACAGTTGGATCCCTGTGGACTGGGAGGAGAAGGGCCTTTCATTTTTGGTGTGTGCTTTCGGCAACACATCGGTAGGTTAGAGAAGTGGCTGCCTGCTCAGCTGGCGAGTTTGCTCTGGCTTCCAATCCATCCAATCCAATTTATGAGGATCTTGATTGTCAGCGTTGGGTTCTCCTTCATAGTGTAGAAGTCAGGCACCATAACCCCAAGCCTTGCTCCCTCGGGTTACTTTAGCTCTCTCATCCAGGCACTAGTTGGGCCCCTGTCCTCTCCCCATCATCGGCTTCTGCAGCGGGAGCAAGGGGAAGCAGAACCCCACACGAGCTTGGGCGACTTGTAGGACCCAGACCCGGCTTCCAGCAGGGCCGCAAGGCTGCGCCTTGGCCGCCTCGGTCACTCCTGGAGGGCACGGGGAGGGCAGGAGCGTTGAGACCCCCCAGCTCCGACCCAGGGCAGCGAGCGGCGCTGCGGGGCGGCGGCGCGGCCCTCACCGCGGTCTCGGCGGGACAGGTCCAGGAAAAACTACGGCCGTTATTTGAAGTGAGTTTTGTTTTGTTTTGTTTTGTTTTGTTTTGTTTTATTTTGTTTTTAGGGAAACGTCACTTCTGATGCTACCCATACCTCCTTTTAGAGATATTTAAAAGTCTGGTAAACTTGGCAAGAGTCACTGGGTATTTTCTCTCAGCACGCCACGATTTGGGGTAATTCCTGAAGGCACCCAGTCTTTTAATTTGGCTTGTAAAATCCTTTTCCTTTTCCCTTTCCCTTTTCCTTTCCCTTTCCCTTTCTTTTTCCTTTTCCCCTTCCCTCCTTCCTGCTTCCCTCCCTCCCTCTCTCTTTCTTTTTCCTTTTCCTCTACCCTTCTGCCCTTCAAGGAGAGTGTGGTGCCTTTTGCAATTAAATAGTTTAGCCGACTTTTTTTTCTTTTTCTTTCTTTCTTTTTTTTTTTTCCCCTCCTTTGCTTAATGAATCTGAATATTTGTTAGTCTCTGCCTTAATGCATCCGGCTAATGGCATCCCAGTTGGACATATGCAGACAGGCTCTTCTCTTTCCACTGACCACAGGGAGAGTTTAGCATTTTCTCCAGTGAAACTGCTCCCAGAGACACAGGTTTTGGCTCTGGATATTAATGAGAGAAACGTGCTGCTCCTTAAGCAGCACTTGCTGTGGCTCTGCACAAACACCCTAGTGGTCTAATGTTTTGCTAAGTTGGGTTTGAAGCAGCCCAGGAAACAAATGTGCTCCTAAAAGATACCATTTCCCACTGTGTAGCTTGTTCCCTCCCTCTCTGTTCGTTGGAGAAGCAGACACACAACCCTCTGCACATCCAGGCACAACGGTCTTGTCTTACAGCGTTTGGAAGTCCCATCGGTTCATTCATTGGGAGTTAAGCTCTCACCTGCTTAGCTTCCAGGGGCAACTGAGGCTTGGATACAACCAGTTCAGCACTTTGCTTCTCTCACTCTGAAGGGCAGAACTGCTGAAAACTCGTGTTGACACAAGACACTCAGCTATCTCCTTTCAGCTTTTGCAGGCAACATGTTAACCACGACAAATCGTGTCTGCTCTTTGCTGAGTGCTTTGAAACAGTGCTGTAGGAATGTGTTAAATGCTCATACATACTTTCCAGAAAATGCAGTGTAAAAGTAATATTTCTGTTTTTATATTTGCAAGTTATTCTTCAGTAGTTTATGTCTCATAGAAAAGCAGCGATTTATAATTCAACAACATGTTATCCAAAATATACAATTCATAACTGCTGTTTTAAAACATTAATTATTTTCAGACAGTGTTAGTAAAGAGCAGTGCAATTTATGTGATGCCATATTCCATGCAAACAGTTATTACTATTGCAATTGTCACTAGAAGTTGTAATCATGGTTAGCATGTTGGTAACATGTAATAGGGAAGAAAACTGTTAGCCAACGTATTTTCATTTGATTCATTCAGATATAAATGTACTGTTAATCATTATGAAAGCTCTATTTATAAATCCTCCAAATATCATCAAGAAAATAATGCGTGCTTTCTTCTACATTAAAAACTCTCAAGCCCCTGATTCTTGTCACGGGAATGAGGGAGGCATACTTTATCTTACTGCAGCGTCTGAGACTTCTAGAATTGGGAGTAATTATATTACACCCCTAAGTTGCTACTGAGGATAATTTATTTAAAATTTAAAAAATGTATTTGACATTAAAACATGCAAAACCCAAGGGGTAGAATTAGCTGTAGCTCAGTGGAAGTGAGACTTCCAGTCAAAACTAGTCATCTGAATTTTCAACATCAGGAAGGGTGAATATAATCTTCAAATATCATTAAGACTTCCAGTCAGAACTACTCATCTGAATTTTCAACAGGGTGAATATAATCTTCAAATATCATTCCTCCTGCATATTTTAGCTTTTAAGATAGAAGAAATCACTCCCCGAAGTGTCTAACTTCTAGCAGTGAATATAGAGGCTCATCTGTCTGGATGAACAGAGCCTGCACAAGTACTTAATGTTAACGAAATCAACTCACCTGAGTGGGACAACTATCAGGCACTTTACAGGAACTGAGATATTGAGGATAAGATGGTCATACACACTCACATTAACAGATCCTCCAGAAACAAGGTTGATATTTTAAAACTTGTGTATCTAGCGTTGTCCCCTTAAATGAACTTATTTCCAATATTCACTGGCATCTTGAGATCAAGATGTATGTAGCACTCCTGAAAGTAACACCATTTTTTTTCTCTATCTGCATAGTCCATGCTTGTAAACATTGGTTAAAACATCTTGGATATTCATGTGTTTTCTTGCAATTTGGCAAGAACAGTCTGAATTTAATGCATTGATTACATCAGTTTGCATAAAACTAGAAATAAGAAATTTCCAGTTGTAAAGAGGCAGCGAAAAAACAACTGCTTTAGTCTTGCAATATATGCATTTGCTGAACTGAAAAACCATTTTCTGTGACTTCTGCTGAAAGTGATAGAAATATGGGCTGGACCATAAGAAATGTGAATACAGCAGCAGCTGATAAGATCTTCTTTTCTTAGTGGTGATATAATGCCACATGAAGTTTATGAAAATACCAAGATAAATCCAGGCACTGGATTATTGTTCAACCTGAGAGTCTTCATTTGATGGCAGAACGGTAGACTGGGGAGATTCCTCATCCTTGCTTACATGCGGTTTATTCTTGTAACTGGAACTCTGTGTAGAACCACTTTTCTCCATATTTTGGTAAGCCTACAATTTGGGGAGAGAAAATAAATTATATATTCCATTTTTTTATGTGCTCTGCTTCAAGAACTGTTTTTCTACAGTACTTGTAAACCCATCTCCTCTTAAAGGAGAGATCTCTGCAGGCCATGGAAGAACCACACTCAGACCTGCCCATTAAATCTCACTGACTCTAAAGGTAGCTCATACAACTGCCTAAGTGAAATCAGTCTTATCTGGCCCAAAAGAGCAGGGTTGAGAAAGGACGTGGGATAGCAAACACTGATTTTGCTCTAACTAAAATGAATCACCAAATGGCTCGTAATTTCTCAAGCAAACCAGTAACCTCTCAGTGTTACCAGAGTCAACTGGCATTGGTAATGGTAGTAAGGACAGGAGCACACGCAGCTCCTTCCCAGTGTGCAAGTCCCGTGCATCCAACGGGAGCAAGAGCAGGAGAAATGATCCTTTATGGCTGACAGCTTCTGGCAGCCTAACAGGGTGCCAAAGGTTAAAGGCTGCAAAGACCAGCATCGTTTATAATCCTGACATGCCAAAAGGTTAACAAGGACACCGTGTACTGAGTAATAGTGTGTCTAGACTGGGGTAGAAAATTGGGAAAGAATCTGTAGTTTTGAAAGGAGCTGTTTATCTTCTTTGAGGAGACATGAGTCTAGTATAGACAGAATATAGCTGCTCAGATCCTGCTTTATTTTTCACCTACCAGTCAAAATGTGGTAGATAGTAACACGTGAGAAGGACATTTGACCCTTGGTCTATGAGGACATGGGCAACACCCCCCTCCAGAGCCCCCAAATCTGAGACCCCCGGGACATGACCTCAGCTCCTCCCACCTGGTACCTATCTACATTACCAAAGCCAGCTGCACTGGCCTCTTCATTAAAAAAGCACAATTCTGGGGGCATAAGGAGAGAGATTTTTTTCCACGTTTACTTACTGCTCCTTCTGCCTCAGCCAGCTGACAGGCAAGAGAGGAAACCAGACAAGAAAAAGAGGGTCTTCTCTTGGAATCAAGGTCCCAGCAGGACTTCATTATATAATAGCTGCAGGAGCAAAAAGGTGATAGAGAAACATATTAGCTGTTGGAGTCCGCAGTAAGTGACTACAGAGAAAGGTCAAAGTCTGGTGGGAATTACGAGACATCAGGACCATTTTATAAAAAGAATCTGGATCAGAGTGTGTCATGCCTAAGAAAAACAAGAAGAGGAAAATGGTTACATTAAATACATGGCTTTGCTGGACCCCTAGCAAAATCCAGCTAATCAAAGTAGAGTCAGGATGATCAAGCAGCCCTTCTTACAGAGTTTTTCAGCATTTTTCAGAGAATAAGGTAATCTCACCTGTTGATTTTTTTTTTGAACGGGGTACTATGTATAATAAATAAAAGGTCACGAAAACAATGACCATATAAACCTAAATCCCCATGCTATGCACCTTTCAGAAAATATACTCACACATCTTTTGTAGCATAATATGGTTGGTCCATTTTAAATCCACTTTGAATTAATTTGTAGAAGTTGGTATCGACCTGAATACCAGGATAGGGATTTACACCTATTGAAAATATTGGAGAAAATGTGTTGATTCAAAAGATAGTGAAAATGAGCTGTGTTCTTTTGCTTTGCTACAGAACATACCCAGAGAGAATATTTCCCATAGCAATATCCCATAGGACCAGACATCACTCTTCATTGTGAACGTCATTTCAAATAAGCTTTCAGGAGCCATCCATTTAACGGGTAAGCGAGCCTGTGCAGATGGGGGAAAGGATGTCAAGTCATGTTTTGACACTGTCTAGATGACTCACTCTAGTTCTCACTGCTTGCAGAGAATCAAATCGTATTTGCTAAGTGAAAAGCTGGGCCTCTCAAATAATCCCTTTAGATTCTCTAATATGGAGAGGGATAGGCACTTTCGAGAGCAGTTCTGCTGATTCACTTTAGATGACTATTTAAGGAGGAAAAGAGCTGTGCTCTAGAAGAGCTCATTTCACATCTGTGACTTCCAGAGTGAGCAGCTCAGATGGAGATGTCCATACTGTGGTTCCTTGTATGTATGGAGCATCTGCAATACCCCACACAAATGCTATGGTCCCTATGCTGTAGTTATCTGCAACAGTAAACAATATCCATCATTTTCCACCAATAGATTTCAGCCTGTTTTTGAAATGACATCTCATTTACAAAACTATCAATATTCTTATTTTGTTAATTATAAGCCAAGAATTTGTATTTGCCAAAGGCAGAAAAAGTAAGATTTCTGCACTGTCTATACATATATATATAAAGCTAACAAAAATGAAAAGTTTCACCTTCTTGATTCCATATCACTCTTCCCATGGCACCAAAAAAAAAAAAAAAAAAAGAGCAGGCAGGAACTTACATTGCCCCTGACAATGTAGTTGGAATCATTCATTACATCTCTGGCAAGGCCAAAGTCACATATTTTCACTACTTTTCCATGGGTCACTAATACATTCCGGGCAGCAAGGTCTCTGTGAATACACTTACAGAGAAAATGTGGGTTAACACTCTACAGCATTCCGTAACAAAAAGAAATAATTTCTTTGGGTCATGGCATCACGCAAAGCTCTATGAATTGGTACACCTTCCACTCCAACTGCCTTATGAATGAGCAAGCTGGATGGTCGACTAGGTGCTCATGGCAAGGCATGGGGCCAGGGCAGAAGGAAGAGTGCGATGCACGGTTCTTGCTCAGGACCATGCCTAAAATTGCAGCCTCGTATTTCTTACACAAAACAGGGAAGTTTAATCCAAGCCTGTCACTGTCCGTCTCTTTCCTCCAGTCTGTTTTTCACTAAACTGATCTACTTTTGCCATCTTTTCCATTTAAACTATTTGCTACCCTTAACCATACCAATTTGGACTCAAGAAACTCCATTCCTTTGGCAACTTGATATGAGAAGCAAAGAAGGTCTTCAAAGGTGAGCACATTAAAATCCTCTTCTTCATCCATCTGTCTGTCTGCATGTTTAATTTCATCTGTGAAAGATAACCAGCAGTACAAGTTTTTCATGGGCTTCCTCGCTCTCTGCTTTATTGTAGTAGCTGTTTTACATTTACTGTATTACAGTTTTTACATGATGCTACCAAGAGTAACATGACAAAGAGCATCCTTTTTTTCATCTTCTGCTCAGATGCTAACTGAAATAAAGTGTATTTTAATGCTCAAATATGATGTACATCATCACTAGAAACATAAACCTGAGGTTTTAAATGTTGCTGAATCCTTCTCCAACAAAAAATCTATCAGAAGAGATACAGGGGCCTCTTGTGTCACTGTATCTAGTCTAGCTACATCAATAATAGGGTAAATGCAATACTAATGGATTTAACAAGCAGATAAAACCACATTTCATCTCTTACCTTCCTCAGAACACAGCACAACCCCATTTGATCCGGAAACCACATTTATGTTTTGACTTGGTTGTGTGTTTTCAAAGTCATCCTCTCTGCACAGAGTCATATTCACACTATATTTTACTGGGGTTCCCTTTCTGGAGAAGATGACACATTTGTCAATGTTCATATAGTGGATAACATAACCATGAACTGTAAACTGTTTTACAGTGATAATAGCTCTACCAGCTATTTCTATCAAGAGTATGGGCACAGACATAAGTCTTTTCAGAACTGGAAACATAAACAAGAGATTTCTTGTCTTTTGGAGTTGAGTGAGAACTTCATCATAAAATGAATTAGATCTCAGTTCCTCTCCAGGCCTTGATCGTTGAAGTATATGAAGGTAGCTCTTAAATAGTTCAGCATTTAAATCAGTTTGTATCAGAGCTGAGAATATAGCTTAAAAATGACAGTAGCTTCATGAGCTATTAAAGTGTTGTTTTACCTGGAATTTTGATCCAAATGGGTATTGTGGTAAAAGCTGAAGTTGTGTTGTTTAAAGATATCTGTGAGTGTCCAATGAAATTTTTCTCTCTTGCTCCGCAAGTAGTTCAGAAGGTCACCATAGCAACAGTATTCAAATATCAAGTAGATTGGTCCTGAAATAATTTGATATGTAAATGTCACCTACTATCTATAGCATCAGAGCCCTAATGAGGCCTCATCTTCTCCCAGGATTAGTCTGTATTAAACATCCCAACCATCTTCCCTTTCCAGGTAGATAACCTGTACTGATCGACTTGTGGGATTTCCCTTTGGAAAATCTTTGTAACTGAATGTTCCCAGTAGTGCCTTGCCCAGCACGGATTACAAATCCTTATGCAAGCTCAAGGAGAGCACTGGGAAGAAGAGCAAAGACTATGAAGAAGCACCATAATATCTAAACATCTCACAGTTAGACAAAAAGAAGGCAGCCTGTTAATTGAATTGGTGGTCTGAATTGGCACCATTTGACTTACATTAATCCCTGTCATCTACCTGCATTAATGTAATGCTCTATTCCAGAAGGCCATTTAAGATGTGGGTATTTTTGCTGACAGTGGGAGAAGGACCTTACACGGGGACGTGTCCGAGTGGAGCACTGGTCAGGTCACTTTCTAAGGAAAAGAAAAATAACTCTCATTCCCTGTCTTGGAAGCAAGCCTTTGCCAGTGAGAAGAGTGAAAGTTCCCAATTTAGAAATGCTCAGAGTGGTCATACACTGCCCTGCAATGTCTTACATTGACATCACCGCTTCTGTTTGAGAGATACTAAACACAAATTGTGGACATTTCTGAAAAAAGGTTCCCTGTCAAGCAAGATAAGGCACACTAGGAAAATTTTTTTTTTTTTTTTTTCAGAGGAGAGATGGGTATGTAAATGTTTCTGTAGGTGGGCTCTGGACACAGCTGAAAGCATTGCTGTCCTGCCCCACGAGAGCGAGCACACACTCCCTGAGCTCTCCAGCCTACACAGTCAGGTCTTGAGGGTGCCCCACAAGGCAGCATCAGCTACTGCCTAGAAACTCGCTATGTGGTTTCAACACCAGTCATGATCTGGTTGTTTGCTTTTCTCTCATGCCCCGTATGTCTTTGCATGACAGTATTGCTACTGATGCACACCAGGGAAACAAGACTTAGCTGATAGCTTTTCTCTTTCTGACTTCATAAAACTCTCTGACAGATATTACAATGCACATCATGGACAAACCCTGGGTAAAATTCTGAGAGCTCCCATCCTGTTACTGCTGGACTAGCTAGACTGGGAGTTCCTAGCACAGGAGAGATCTGTGTTTGTACATTGCTTCGATGATATAAGAATAAACACAACAATTAAGTAATGATAATATCCTGTTACTTCCCTCCTAACCCTACTTTGTGCAGTTCTTCCCATCTTCATTTTATTTTTATAAGTGGACCTTTGGAAAAGTCGTCTCCCTTTTCAATATTCCGTCCCCCCCACTTATTTTTTTCCTATTCTTTTATTTTTCTTTCCATTCATGTCAATCTCTTGGTTATTTTTCCATTTCTTTCTACAACTTCACAGTTGGACAGGGAATAAAATTTCCTTTTCTGTTTTGAAAATATGATTTCTTATGTGAACAAATTTATGTGGATACAAAGGTACTTTGCTCTGGAGGTGTTTTTCCTTTTCTCTTAGAGAATTGGTCTGTATTAATGCCATTATTACTGTTCAAGGGAAACTTCTTTCATTCAAAGACTGTTGTATAACTTCATGTCAATGCAATTAGAAAGGATTAATTTCTGTACACACAAGGTCTTAGCTTTGCTTTCATGTCATCCTTAACTTATTTTAGGCCAGAGAGAACAACAAAATTGTTTGGAAAGAGAGGGAAAGAAGAGAGTGCCCAAGAGAAGAGGGAAGCAACAGCCTGAGGGATACACATTTTATTATGACTTAGATGCTTTTAACACTGCTTTTAACAATGGTATTTTTTTGATACTTTTGTACAATAGTCCTCATTAATTTGAGTATTTTAATTGGTACCTTTACACAATTGCTAGTTACCTGATACAGTGCAAGCTCCTAGGAGGTTCACAATGTTTTCATGGCTTCCAATGTGAGTCATCATTTTCAGTTCAGACATTAGAGCTTCTTTTTCTGAAGTGTCAGATTTTTCTGCGAAGGTAAAAACATCAAAAACTTGTAAACCTCCAGCAAAGAATGCAAAACATCACGTACTGCACTGCTTTGTCTCATGCAAGTCTTCATTTCAAATTAATTGACCTGGTAGTAGGTTTAGGAACATGCTAGAAAATCATGGTATAATATAAAAATTAAGTAAGTCAAACACGGAAGGCAAAGCAGGGGATGGGGAATCAATTCTAAAATGTTAGTATCTGTCATTTTGAGGCTGGCAAGGAATGAGAGTAGCATAAGTAAGGTTGTCACAAGTGCAGAAGAAATGTCAGTGAAGCCAATTGAAGAGAAATGCTAAGGGAAAAAGATTTCTCCTCAGCAGTATGGCACACAGCAGTTGTGTTCCAATGCCTAAGAAGACCATCTGTTTTAACTAATAGCTTTAGGGTTGTTTTTCACTAAATAATCAGTCTTTATGGTCTCAGTGAATTGGAGACACGGGCCAAAACGATACAGATGAAATTCCATACAGATGTCTGCAAAGCTGTGGATGAAGGACAGGTAATTTAATGCACCGTGCAGATAGGGTATGAAGGATTGGCAAGCAGGGCTGTCAGCAAGGAACTGGGTGGCAATTTGTGTCACTGCAGCGCTGGTGCTGTCGCAGAGGCTCATGCTCTTACATATTACCAGGATGGTGGTATGTAAGACTCAATGGGTAGCATTCCTGTTCGGCTCATGCACACCATGTTTATTAGAGGCAAAGAGAGTCTGGAGGGAGACCGGAGCAGAGCAGGAAGGAGAATGAGAGTTTTAAGAAGGCTGGCCTACAAGGAAGGATAGAAAGAAATTGTTCTGTTTAGACAGGAAGAAAAGACTACAGGAAGATAGGCTGTAAATTTTGCAAACAAGGTAGCTCAGAGACAGGAGGCAAGATAACAGTGTTAGGTAGCTAAAAGGAGTGCACAGCTAGACAGTGCTACATGAAAAAAGGATCCTGGGCCCAAATCTACAGAGGCACCAGTGAAACCCCCCAGGTTAATTCGCACTACAAAGCGCCGTTCTTCATTTTTAGATCAACACAGCTCCAGCCTTCCCCACGCAACGCAGATCTTCACTGAGGTGTAGGAGAAGTTGCACTAAGAATAAGGTGCAGTGGTGCCTTCTAGAATTGAAATATCTGAAGGAGAAACCAAGCGTTGTAAGACACAACTGCTAAAAGTCTGTTTGATGGGATTTCCAGCACTGCTTCTGTTTCAGAGCCATTAAAGCACATGCCTGCTTGCAAAAGGCAGAGTTTATTGTACCTTTCAGCATTTTGACTGCAACTTGGACCGAGTCTCCTGCCTTGCTAATTCCATAAGCTGTTGCATTCACCACTTTCCCGAAAGCCCCAGAGCCAAGGACCTGCCCTACAAAACACAATATGTCCATGTTATGTGTAAATGGTACGGTGCGCGCTGTACCACTCCAACACTGTGTTTTGCCTTGTGGATTGCTCACCAAATTCCAGATTTTCTCTGGGAAATTCCCATTTGAGATCATACTCAAATTCACTGAAGTCAATATAGATGTACTCATTATCCGATGGGCCTATCATCTGTATCATTTGCAACTGGGTTTCATATCTGAATTGCTTTAAAAAAAAAAGTTGATTAAGTCTTAGATAAGAAGTAGTAGTTTGGTAAAAGAAAAAAAAAAGCAGAAGAGGCAGGTATTTATGTCTGCTTTTACCTTTTTGTATTTTTGAAAAATGAGTAAAAGCAAAAAGGCAACAAATAAGAGGAAAAATCCAGCAGTGGCGTAGAATGCAGCATTATCCAGGGGGGAAGAAACTGCTCCTGCAACTTTAAAAGATACATATTATTAAACAGTGAATCAGAGCATGTGTGTAAAGCCTAAAGCATAAGGAAACCCATGGTGATTTTTTATCAGTTCTGCCAGTTTGCAGACCTCCCACACCTGAACCTCCTCAGCAACCTAAATGGGACAGAGCTCCATGCAAAGCAAGGACCTAGGCAGGACTTGTTAAGTGGGTAATTCTCACATTTATTTTCATTTTTTTAAAGTTATATGAATCAATAAGTCTAAGTGCATTGAAGTGTGTTTAGTGGATTGGACTTTGTGACTATAAACAGAGGAACAAGTGACTCTTCTTCTGATCATTTCTCTTTCCTCTCTCCCTGTGCCTTCCCCCAAGACATTCATGTCAGATCCTGAAGCACCAGCCACCTGCAGACCAGCTCTGCAAAACCCATCCAGAGCAGTGCTCTGCTGCTGAGAGTTTTTCAGAAAACTTTGTGCTTTCTTTTCTGTGGTCATTAGCTGTTTTTTTTAGTTTGTTGCCTTCCTCCCTAAGTTCAAGATGCAGTAGCTCCTATAACCTCTCTGGGATCACACAGGGAGCCGGGGAGGCTTTTCTAGGGAATCCCTCTCAGTTGTGGGGAGATTTTTTATCAGCCATGGTTGAAAGCAGAGAACAGCAGCAAAGGAAATCCCTTGTTCCAAATGAACAACACAAATGTCTTCCTAACCCTATGCAAGTGCCACAGCACGTTTCTTGTTGCTGAAATGCTTTGCCCTACAGAATGTATACTGTGTTACACATATAACATACAGAAGCAAATAATCCTGTTGCCTTTTCTAACTCAACAAGGCAAGAATCTCTTGTGTCCCCTAAAAAAAGGAGAGACTGCACAGCATTTCACAAAAGGTCTTAGTTTTTGCCACCTGCCCACAGCAGTTGAAGGAGGCCTTACCCCTGCTCCTCATCTGTGCTCCTCAAGCACAAACTGTCTGTGTAGCAGGTGCGAATCACTCCTGTGGGCTGAGCAGAGCTCCCATGGGCTGTTTGGGGCATCATGGTAGTACCACAGTGAGCTCCAGGAGAGGAACCAGAGCTAACACCTGGCACCAGCTACCCAAGCAGCTCCGTCTTTTTTTCAGAAGCTGTTGCCTCTGGGTTTCAGGTAAGGATTACAAACTAAAAAATGAAAAAGTAGGTCCCACTTTTCCATGGTTGCATCCTGCAGTTCCTATTCTTGCGAAATTTCTGCTAATGGGAGAGACCCTTGTTTGAAACTGTAGAGGAAACATGTAACCATCATTCATCCACCATTCTACACATTGCATGCACAGTGCTTGCATTTCACTGGCAATGACCATTGCACTGTCAGTTAGCTAGCCAGATAAACATTACCACAGCTTCTCTTTTGCCATCTTTAATCAGCTTGAGAAAGCCTATGCTAAAACATAGGCTTATGGTACCTGACAGGTTAATGAAACTCTTTTCACAGGTTGAACCAGCAGAATTGTTTGCACAGCACTCAACAGAGAAGGTTGTTGCTGTCTCCTTTATATCTAAAGTACTGCTTGAAATCCATGACCCCAGGGATCTCCTCTCTGGCAAGAAGTTCTGAATCCCCTCAGTAATTTCTTCTGTACAGCTGAAAAAGAAAGGAGTCCGGTTCTGATTTGGGGCTTTTACACTTAGCTTGTTACAGGTCAGCCTTCATTTAGTCAAACATAGCTCACATACAGTCTTTGCAATGAAGCCAAAGGAAAGAAAATTATTTACTTAGATGAATTCAGTTCAGGACAGTTCCTCCAAATCCAGGATGGGGCAGGGTAACTATCAGAAATGCAGGAGATCTGCTTGTATGCTAACTGCATGGTGACTTTAGGTTTCCCTGCAATGAGAAAAAAAGATTGTTTTCCTCAGCACTTCAGTGACCAAACCCACTGTTTTTATATGGCGATGCTATATCTGCTAAGACCAAGCTCTGCCCTGTGTTTCCAAAATAACCCACCCACGTGCGAGTGTGAGAGCTGGCACAGACCTCCGGCCCCTCCTTCCCCAAGCCCCGGAGCTTCTGTCTGCGGGATGGGAGGGCGGCTGAGCCAACGGGAGCAACCACTTCTCTCTATGGGCAGCCAGAGCAAAACAGTGGCAGAGCCCAAATTAGAAGTCTCGACTTCTGCTTTTGCAGCTGAGAACAGGCGCTGTGCCCTGGGACTCTGCCAGGAGCCAAGCGCTGTCTGCCTTGCTCGTACAAAACGAGCAGAGGGGATCCTAGTGTTGGAGCTCCTTAGTCTGGGGCAATGGTAAGATGCTGGAGCTGGTCAAAGCTGAGGTAACCGAGAACGCTGGACAAGGCTGTGCATGTTTGCAAATCATGTTCAGGAGCATACATGTCCACCTGACATATGTATTATATGTTGAAGGGCATGCAGACTGTATTTCACAGCCCTCCTAGGCTTTGTGGTTTTCTTAAGAAATGTTTGTTTTCTCAGGATATGACCAATTTATCTTATTCTGTCCTCACTGCAGATGACACATTAAAGGAAGGACAAATTAAAATAAAAATAAATAAAATAAAATAAAATACTTCTTCAGATTTGGTAAGGGTAGTCTTCCTTGGCATTTCCCATTTCATTTACATAGCTTTATTATGTAAGTAGTAGGAGGAATGCAAGACAAAAAGGTGATTCTCTTCATGTCTATCCTGCGCTACTGAAATCCATACAGTGGTGTTGGAGAAGGGTGCTAAGTGTTCATGGGTGCTGCTTTCTGGGTTGGTCAGGGATAGAGAACAGGCTTCTTGTGTGGGGTTGTGTGACCCTAACACAGGGCTCCTGGCTAACAGGGTGTGTGATGGAGACCACATCCCCGGTGCTATTTAGCCCAACCCAGTGCCTGGTCTGGAACTGAGGTGTTCCTCTCCCCCGGGGTCTCCTTGTCTCTTGCTCTCCTGTAGGAACTTCTGGGGTCTCTGCACTCACCAGACAGGCTTAACACATTTGCTGATAGACTAGAGTTATTTTGCCTTTTAAAACCCAAGCCCCAAACCTTTTCACTAGGAGTTCACATCTTATTGTACTAATTGAATGGATATCTCAGGTGATTTAGTTGTATACATTCAATTAGGCTGTCTTGTTGCATCCTGACAGGCAACACAGGGTGCAAAGAGTCTCCCAGTTTTTACAGAGAATATGGGACTTGATTATTAAAGGTACTAGTCAAAGCACTTAGATGAGATATATTAGGAAAGTTTCTTACTGTTGATAAAAACAGATATTCAATTGAATGTTCAGATACTCGAGTATGCATAGATTTTTAAAAACAAAAAAACCAACTTTATTCAACATCTAGTCCTACTACTAGAATCTAGTTTATTTACTTCAGTCCAAAAGGGAAAAAGAAAGCAAGTATTTAATTACATCTTCTCTGTTGTACGGCATTGCAAAAGGTAATGTTATAAATGTGAAAACCACATATTAGTTCTACTTATGTTGGTGGCAAATTCCTAGTGACAGACACAAACAGGTCAAGAATTTCACCCTCAGACTTTTCCGGAACTTTACAAGGATATATATATTTTTTGCACTTACTTCTCACATACAAAGTGAATTTTTTCGTCATGACTGTATCATCATTTTCTGCATAAAATACATATACCCCAGGCTGATGCTGATGGTTGCAGAACTTTGAAGAAATACTGTGGTGTAAAGAGAAGAAAGGACAAAAGATTCTCTTGAGCATGATATTAGATGCAATGAACACTGCAGTGAAGATATATTTGAAACAATTCAGCATCTTCCAATGCAGAATCCAGACTAAATCATTTCTCATCAAACAATATAAACCCCTAAATGTTACTGTCTTAGGGAAAGGATGTGAGTTTTTTTTTCCTGCAGTATCAATTTCTTTCTGCAATTTGCTTTGTAATTCCTGGAGTTCATCTGGGATATAAGGCTCTGATTTTGTATCAAATCCATTGGAAGACAAGGTCTGTGATCCCTCCTGGCAAAAATGCTAAGTGTGGCAAAGGAATCAAATGCTATGCTCCAAAAAAGATTTTGATGTGAGCTTCTAGCCTACACAATAAATAGTACTAGGAAATAACAGTGAAACAGGGTCTTTTACAAGATCAATCTCTTTGAAATGAAAGAGTTGATGGATACTTAGTCTCTTAGACAAAGTACCACTGTCAAATATTTCTACAGGAAGAAGGACAATCTTCTACTAACCACTACGGCCTTTGGCCAGATGGATGGTGGCATACCAAGACCAAGCCTTGCAGGAAGTGGCTTATGATAGTCAAAATGATGAAGGCAGAGTCCTAATGAAAGTGTGGAGACTCTGTTAGAGACAGAGGACAAGGACAACTTAGACATTCATGCATGACTGACCTGTTGAATTACTGGTTTGTGGGACAGGGAGGAGATAATGCATCATCTTATGGAGAAGGCATCTTACTGTCATCCTTTTTTATAAGGTTATTTTTGTCAGGATTGCTGACAGATTTAAAAAGCAGCTTTTGATAGTTCACGAGTGTTAGAATAGCACCCAAGGAGAATTTGATTGCTGGCATTTTGGGGGCAAATGTTTTGGCTGAGAATATGCAAAACTGTCAGTAGGTTTTAACAATAAAGGCAAGCAGACATATTAGGAGATCTGTAACATGCTGGTAATCTGAGGTGTAAGAGAAAGCAGTAATGAACTTTGATCGAGAAATCTAAAAGCCACGTGTTTCATATTAAAAAAGATACATATAAGTGCATTAAGAAACCAAGTACCACCTTGCATTTCCAAATGAATAAAACTAATGTTGGAGTCATGGAGAATTTTACCTCCTGCCTAAGGCAACATCCTCCACATAATTATTGACTTTTGAGTGTCTCCATTTGGAATGGACTTACGGATGTGCGTGAACTCAGAGATTTCTTAAAATCAGATCTGCTCTAAGATGTCTGAAAATGGATACAAAAGACAGGAGAAATGACAAATCATTCATCACTTTTGAAATCCTAGTCTGAAGGATTAAGTCCTGATTAAATAATGACAAATTCATATTATGAAAATTGTTGCTATTTGAAAACATTAAAACTACAAAGGGATGTGGGATAACAAGCCATATATTTTAAAAAGGTCATTCTGTGTATGGAAAGTCATTGCTCTAAGGAGGGAAGTGAAAATCAACAGTGTCCTAAAACACAAAGACAAAAAGAGCACACAGAAAACTTTGAAGGAATCTCTGGTGACAGAGATGGTAGGTACATGAATAGAGATGAATTCTTGGAGTTAAAAACTAAAGAAGGAAACAAAGTTAATGAATGACATTTAATATAATCTATAATCAGGAGGAACAATTTGACAAGGAAATAGCAGAAATTGAAAAAGGGAAAAAACAGGAAATGAAAAAGGATATGAAAGGAACAAAGTAGAAGTGTTGGGACACAGGATTACTCAGAAGAGAACCAAAATATGTAAAGTTAGAATCATAATAAAGTTGGAATCATATCAATCATATGAGGACATTTTTAGTGTTTGTTTTGAGAAACTTTCTACTCTTAAATCATATCCAAAACTACCGTTGTGCTACAAGCATAGAATGCTTCATTTTAGGCAGAATCTTGTCACTTCATTATCCACTGCTGCTCCTGATGATATCACTAAACTGAATGAAATGTCTACCCTTACTAATTTTTCTCAAGTGATATATGTCTGTAAACTGCTAATATTTAATCAAAACAGGATATCTTTGGAGGGTAGCTGTGTATTGACTAAATACTAACCAAATTCACGTACTTTTTTTCTCTATTGTACTCATCCATAAAATCAGTAGAATGATGTCTACTTGGCTGCCTACACAGGTATTGAATTATTTAGCTCTTTGAAAATGTAAAGTGCTAAATAAATGCAAAGTGCAACTACTAAAATGAACATTAAAATAATATTTAAAAGAAATACCTAATCAACACCACAGTCCAAAGGACGGCTGAGCCAGGTCAACCTCAAGCAGCCTCCAGGTCAGCCTCAAGTGATGCTTTGGGTGGTTAAGGAGCAGGATCTCGACACAGGGCTGAGACAGCAGCCCAGGATGTGCCACACTGGGGAGACCTGGCTGGACTTTTCCCTGTCCGGCAGGTGGTGATCACCACTCAGGGAAGCAACAGCCATTTGTGTGCTCAAAAAGCTATCTGAAGTGACTCATAAATTCCAGACTCTGCTCCAACTGCACCTTACTGATTAATTGGGGTTACCTAAGCTATTGCAGAGTTCCCAAAATTGTTATTGTTGGCCCATTACATAGCACCTTCTTATCTGGATTGAATTTCCACCAGCTGCCAATCATCCAAGCAAAACTCTCTCCCACTCGTTCAGCGAAAAGGCAGTGCAGACAGCTGCAAAGCAAATAAACTAAATATTATCAGCTAGGCAGAGGCCATTGGACAAGGATGAGCAAATGTTCATGGCTGTCCTCTGACTCTTCATTTCCAAAATCAGATTCAACCACAAGAGCAGATCTGCCTAGCCCACATCAGGCATTGCAGATTAGTTAGTAACACCCACTTATCAATGCTATCAAAGTTTGCGGACAGCCCTCACTTTATCAGCAAGGACAGAGTTCCTGTGTCCATTGCCAGGAGATGATAGTTTGCTAATCTGAACTGAGCTGTCTCTAGACCATGTGAAGCTCTGACTCCAACACTCCACCTGATCCAGATGAAAAGGCCAGTCCGTTGCAAGGATGACTTGACAAGCCAACTGCTAAAATCAAGTATACCAAAACATTAAGGAAAGAAAACACAAAAAGTGCTAGCAAGACACAATTTTAAGCAAATGATCAGAGATGTTTAAGAATATGGAAAGTAAGAAATCAGTGTAGACACATTAACTCCTGCCTGTCTCTGCCTATTTTTTAACTAAAACATTAAAAGATCAGCTTGGTTTTATTTTCTTCAAGGTGAATAATATCTGTTACCTTGAAACTACGGGACTACTCTGAAAGAAACTCTGAAGGAAATTAGATAATGTTATCAAGAAACTAGAAAGCCTAGGGAATGGAGAAAACATTAGCCTTAAACAGGATTCATGCCAGAACTTCATTGTAGGAAGCAATAGAAAAGGTAGATAACTAACGAGTTTATTCAAAACATGTTTTGCAAGAGCAGAAGAATACATGACCTGGGTAATTACCAGAATGTTTCTGTGGCACAGGCAGAGCCTAAGAGATCTACAGAGGGCTTGGGAAACTACTGGGCCCTGGACTGGATTTTAGCTATTGGAAAGATACTGGGAACATCATCAAGAACAGGGTGACAAAATGGGAACAAGTAGAACTTGGGTTTCAGGCAGAGAACTGCAAAAGAGCTGTAACTGCAAATTGTGTCAGGGAGAAAGCAAATGGTAAAATTCAAATAGCCTAAAGGGGTTGCGAGATGCGTTAATTTATATAGGGATTTATTATAACATGAAGGAAAAAAGTGATTCTCTGAACTGCTGTTGAAAGCCAAATTAACCTTTGAGTATTCTTTGGTAACACTGCTTCATCACTTGGCCCACGCACTTATTACAAATATGAATATGCATATGAAGTATGAACAGTAATCAATTCAAAACAGACAGAAGAGGAAACATTGTAAAATACCTGAGTCCCTCCACACTTTGCTCACATGGAAACTTTTTTTGGGAATATATCCACATGCACCTAACGGCTGGATACGCCGTAAGATGAACCTCAAAGCAAAACTCTTCTTCACCGATTTCAAAATCCTCTCTAGAGTCAGTTATGTTTATAAACCCCCTTTCTGGAAAAAAAAAAAAAGGTTTTATGTTACAAATACTTTGCTGCCTAATGGAGCAATTTTAACATCTGTGTGTTTTTAGTTTTAGTTATTGCAAGCAAAACCAAAACAAAACAAAAAAATAAAAACCACTATTAAAAACACTGTATTACATCACAAAAGCATCCTATTTACCAAAAAGAAGATAATGCTTCAAATAGGATTGAAATGATATTACAGCATTCAATTGTACACCGGTGATCTGAGCCCATGTAAAATATTCTGGAGTGGTAAATTTGGTCAGACCCAGAGCCTTTCCAACCAGTTCCCCCCTCCCACCCTCCAGAGCCACTGAGCCAACAGTTCTCCTATGACTTTGCTTTAGGTATGTGTTCTTGGTGTGAGCATCTGCATCTCCAAGCTTTCCTGTAATAGGGAATGAAATCATGCAGCACAGCCAGCATAACCAGGTATTTACTGGAGCCGTTTCTCCTTCCCTGAAATAAGCTGAAGATTTTGCAAATCTTACCCAAAGATTTTGCAGATGAATCTCATAGTTGTTCCTAGTGTTTATCTATCTAAATTAGAAGTATTTGATGGAAGGCAAACATGGAAAAACATGAAAAAGTCTATCTAATCCTAAAATAGACTCCAAAAAGATGTACTGAAGTAAACTCTGGAAATGTCTGTCACTGTTGAAGGAGCTTAGGTCACTGCTGGGGCTAGGTGACTCATCGGATGAAACGAATCCCACCGAAAGTGATGGATCAGCACACAAAAGTAGAAGAAAGTCTTTCTAAAGACCTTCTTCAGTGGAGTTAGGATCAGCTCTGCTAAAATCACAGAATCAAGTAGCCTGGAAGGAACCTCTGAGTTTTAGATATCTCTAAGAAAGGAGAATCCACACCTTTGGGCACCCTGTGCCACTGCTTGGTCAGCCTCATGGTGAAAATCTGTATGCAGAAACACTGCTGGACTGGGTTTTTATTTTGAGTTTTTTCCTTCTGATTGTAACTATGTAATTTGGCACGCTTCTTCTTAACAACTTGGTTGGAAAAGTACTAAGTGGAAATTCCCACAAGAAACCACAAGAAAAGTTCAATATTTTAAAAGAAGAAGCAATTCCTTTCATGTCTATTCTTCTCTTTTTTGATATTGAAGACTTAATGGTTTTATAATGTGCAGCTCCATCTCTAAAATGTTCTGTTGGACCTCATCTTTCCAGGCAGAAAGTCATCTGGATATGCACTGATAGCAAGACAACCTGCCAAGTGTAAAGGCTTTTTCTTCAGAGTGCAGAGAGGGACTTGGAACAGGGTATGCCATTTCTCCGCAAAAGAACTCAGGAGAAAAAAAAAAAAAAAAGCAGTTTCTGAAGCAGATAGAAAATAGTATATTTTTATTCCTTGGCTGATCTTGTGGTTTTCTATTTTCTTTTTTCTTTTTTTTGGCAGGTTTAAGTGCTTTTCTATCATAGCAATAGTAAACATGATTATTTAGTAATGATAGAGAGATGGGTTGAAATTCCTGAGACTGGAATTAAAGCTTTCATGCCTTTGTATTCTGTGTATTTGTTTGTTTATTTGCCTTTAAGCTGAGCATGTCATAAAATAGCTTGTATGTTTCTGAGTAAAGATTGGGTAGTGCTTAGATCTCTATGCCCTGGTGATGCAGAGTGAACATGGGGAAGAGCAGACAGGAAGGACATTGCAGCTGCAGCTGCAGTTGTTGGCTCTATTGGGCTTTCAAGTGGGCTAAGCACCCTCTGGGATGTGACCAGCTAAACAAAAAGAGATAAGCTGGTGAAACAGGAAGTAGAAAAGAGAAAACCAGAGCTGTCTGGCTGCAGGGCGTTGTTAGGCATGAGAAGACCACCAGTCAATGTAGTTATGTTGGCCAAGCTCCTTAGGCAATGCGGAGTATGCAAAGTAGATGAGGTTTTCTCTTTATCAAGTGACTTCCTCACCATTCCCAGTGAAGCTATATCTGATGACTCATGGATAGTGATAGTTTAATGTTAGGGCAAAGATGCTATGACTTCCATCTGTCCAGCCAGTGGTCATTTCAGAGACTGCTACTCTATGATAAGAACAAGCAAATGAAACTCTTATCCCTGTTGATCATGAATCTGGAGTGTTAGCATGAATTGACACCAACCAAGGGTTTCATTAGTACATTAGGCTAAAAACTGTGATGGATCAAAGGTGTTGCACATGATGTCCCCTTTTAACCTTGGAGAGAGAAGCATCACTGATAACTAGATATGGCAGTATTCCCCCTAAATTAATCTACCATATAAGCCAATAAGCTGTTTTTTTTTTTTTTTTTCATCCGTAAAGCCAATAATCACTCACAGACTTTGTTGGCATATGGGGTATGGGGACATTTTAAGGGATGGTACAGAAAATCACCATAGTTTCCTAGTCAAAAAAGTTAAGAAGACAAAATTGTATGCTGTTGCCTGAAAAAATGTAATTTTCAATCCTTTCAGTTATAGGTGACATCACTGAGGAAATATAAACTTCCAGAGCCAGAGATTCAAACATCTCCCGTCAAAATGATACCTACTCAAGCTGATAGTTCTGCAGGGATGCAAGAAGTAAGTTTGTCTGAGTTGTGTGTGAGTAGCAAGACAGGATCTTGCCCTGTCTCTGCACAGCCCCTCATTAGCACAGGGTGGAAAGCACAGGGTGCAGGTTCCACTAGGTGAGCATAAAGCAGGGGTGTAGTGGGAACAAGTGGTGAGGAGGCAACTGAGACCATGGACAAAATTTTTCAAAACCTGCCTGCACTAGTAGAGTCATTGAAGGAGAGTCCTGTCTCATGTTACTTGTCAGAACTCCAGATGTGGACAGACTAATACATGGTGCATTAATAGATGAAAATTCAGGGCAAGTCAAGTATTTTTTATCATTGACCAGCTCCAGCTCCTGAAAAGTGTTTCTGCAATGATTTACCTCCAGTTGTTTTTATCTGTGCCTCCATATAGGTTTGAGACCTTAGATACCTTCAGAGAGGAGGGCCACTTGCAGGGCACAAGTGGCCTCAGCTCAAGGAAAGGCATGAAGCAGGGTAGAATGGCACTGTGACAGGACCTTGTTGTGTCCAGTGACCCTCAAGGAGCTCATCCCTGGGGATGCTGAAGTCACCTACAGAAACTCCTAGAACTACTGAAGAGAGTCTGACGTAGGGCTATGAAGATGATCAGGGGACTGGAACATCTCTCCTATGAAGAAAGGCTAAGATAGCTGGGCCTGTTTAGCCTGGAGAAGAGAAGGCTGAGAAGGAATCTTATCAATGTGCATGAATATATTAAGGGAGGGTGTCAAGAGAATGGGGTCAGACTATTTTCAGTGGTGGCCAGCAACAGGACAAGAGACAATGGCCACAAACTGAAGCACAGGAAATTCCATCTGAATGTGAGGAAAAACTTCTTGTTCAAGAGTATGACAGAGTGCTGGAGCAAATTGCCCAGAGAGGTTGTGGAGTCTCCTTCTCTGCAGATATTCAAGACTTGCCTGGTTGCAACCCTGTGCAAGGTGCTCTGGGTGTCCCTGCCTGTGCAGGCGGTTAGACCAGGTGATTTCCAGAGATCCCATTCCAACACCTCAGCCTTTCTGTGATTCTGTGAAATTTGAGGGAAATCCCAACCCATGTTTCTAGAAATAACATTGAAATGACCACTAGCCTTTCAGACAGTGCCATTTCAGCCCACTTATAAAAATATCCTCTTCAGGTACATGAATAACTCAGTCAAGATTAATATCTTGGCATCCCCAGACTGCCAGCAAGTGAAAACAGGATTTATCATAGAAATCATTATAAACATATGCTGCAAATATGCAAGCAAAGAACTGACATATTGAAAACAAAGCAAAACAATCAAAGGACAAAAATAACACTTGGAGTTGGAGTTACCTAGGACTGTAATCAGAGCAGTTTGACTTGGATGTGCTGTAGAAGAACAGGTGTAGTGTCCACTGTCGTTTCTTCCTGCTGCTGAAGCAAATACATACTGGATCCGAATGGCTGAGTAATCTATTTGATAGTCTAATCCTTCAAAATACCGATCCTAGTTTTCAACAGAGGTTTGCACTTAATCAGTTTTTAGTAACCAATATTGTATATTATAAAATAGACCTTGTCTTCTTACCTGCTGTAGTTTTTTGTTTTCAAAAGAAAAATTAATTCTGAATTTATAGTTATGATAAACAGCTCTGCATCTGATGAGCAATGGTTCTCCAGCTTTGAGAAGTAAAGGTAAAGGCGCTGCATGTCTTTCACTTAAATCTACAAAATGAATACACAACCAGTGAAACAACTTCTACTGTCTCTGGAAAAAAAAGTACTCATTTAGATCAACATTTTTTCTTTCAACTTTATCTATTACTATATTGCAAAGCTACTCAGACGTTGGAAAATTACTCACTAAACACGAAATCAGTAAATTTGGTGGATTTAAATGATATATTTGCTGCTGGATAGATTTGTTGCAGTGATTGATTACAAATGAAGAACTTAGACAGGGAGCTTACTCAGATGAGTAGTACAACTAACTCCAATAGTAGGATCCACATCATACGAAAGTAAACCTTAGAGGGAAGTTACCTATTGTAAACAGGCTGGTGCATTCTCTGCCCAGCTCATTAGCTGCACAGCACCATATGTATGTATGAAATAATTTATCTTCCTGTAATCCATGTTGTACCTTCTGTATGCCATGTGTTTCCCCAGTTTCTTCACGCATTTTGTTAGGGCAACTGAAATTAGAAGCATAATTATTCATTGACTCATTTGGTTAACCTCAAGCAAATGACTCTGACAAATCCCTGTGCCATAAAATATGCGAACAATAGTGGGAAAACTGGATCTTACATATCTGAATAAAAAGGAACCAAGAAAGACAAAGATAAGAAAATAAAAATGTCACAGCTGTGGAATGAATGAAGATAATGTGGGCAGCAGAATGAGTTGAACTGACCCGTATATGGTCAGACTGGGTCATAAATAGGTAATCCTATGGCTGAAATCTGGAAAATAGTGAAATCATACATTGAGCTTTCACAGTACATCTCAGGATTACTGATGGTGGGGGCTATTGCAAATGTAATGGACTTATGTGATCCAGACCCTCAAATTGTCACAAAGCAGAGAAAAGTACCATCAATTCAAGATTGTCTTAACTGAACTCATTCAAGCTTACTTGCTGCTTATTTGAGTACATTCCCACTCTTAATACATACTCTGGTTGCATGTGTTTACACATACTCTGGTTGTATGTGAAAACATAATGAAAAAAAATTAGCTAGGAATGATATATTTTCTTGTAATATCTTCATAAGTCTAAGGCATCCATGTTTTCTAAAACGTGAAAAACTCCAGAGGAATGAGATATATTTGATTTATTTTCATCATGTCAAAAGACTAGAATCTGGAACAATTTTTCTAAGTGAAGAGTTGAATGTTTCAAAAAGAGCACGAGGGACAAACTTTTTAAGAAAATTATGCTGCAGCACTGAAAAATGGAGTCATGCAGACACAGATTTTCAAACAGCATTGTGCAACACAGCAGAGCTCATTGCTCCCCTCCAAAATCTGACCTGTGGCTCTTCTTCAGTTACCTAGTCAAACCATGAGGCCCACTAGTGTGTGAAAGCTTCCCCTTACTTCTTCAGAAGATGGTAAGTTTTCAAAAAGCCTCAATAAGCAAATAAATAGACACCTTACCTCTCTTCAGGTGTTTTGCAAAATATCCACTCCAAAGATGGCTGGGGGTAGCTCTCCGATATGCACTGTATAGTATCTAGTTTTTCGCTTTTCCTGAAATAGGGTTTCCCTGGTTTCTCTGTTAAAAATCATGCAAATGACTAAGATTTCTTGAAATAATTTCAGTGGAGTGTTTTGCTCAGTAAATAGTACATTATTCTACATGGCTGTAATATATTTCATGCGATTTCAATGCTCAGAGAAAATAAAATTATTCTGCCCTACGGATATTGTGGGTTGGTCCTAAAAGCATCTCAGCTGGATTGTTAAATATATATCTTCCTCCATATCAGAGGCCTGCTTCTATACAAGAGAGGGGAATCTGGAGGCTGCTGCTCAAGTTGTTAATTTGCTGTGGCTCCTGCTCACTTCCCTTGGCAGGAGTGCACATACCTTTAGAAATCCCATCTGTAGAGAATGCAAAACAAGATCCTTACGTGCTACTCAGTCAGATCAGATATATGATGGAAAAGCAACGGGGGATAACAACTTCTAGTAGTGATTGGATTTGCTATCAGGCCAACCTGGAGCTGAAAAGTTTCTTAGACCACTCCCAGTCCTCTGACTCTGTCAGACTAATACTTTAGGTAAATATATACCTAATATAATATATAAATGCATTAAAACTGCTAAGGATCTGACCTAAAATGAAAACTATAGAGTTTATCTTAAAGTCAGCACACAGTGGAATTACAATTTCCACCAAAAAGGCCAATATTTTATTTTCATAATTTCATTGCCTAGAAGGTGAATGCAAAGGCAACAATGATAATTTCAGGTTTGCATTTCTTTGGTTGCTTATCTCTTATAAACTGGGCCTACAAGTCTTTTTTTTTTTTTTCTTCCAGCTGTAGAGATTCACATCTCATCTAGCCTGAAGGATTTGATGACAGATGGAATTAGGATATTAGATTTGCAGAAGCAAAGAGAATGAAATCCAAGCAACTATATGAAAAAGATCTTTACCAAGACTGTTTTGAACTATCTTGCCTGCATACCTGGTCACACTACTTACTTTTGAAGTCTCACTGATATGGTAGAGTAGGTATATTTTTGATAAACACTTAACCTCAGAAAGTTGTTAAAATTATAAACAAGGCCTACAATAGGCCTTCAAATAAAGCAAGTGACACTTCTAACATTTGAGTGAGAAAGAAAAAATCAAGCACAAATACCTTAAAAACAAGTAAGAAGGAATGAAAATTTGTGATTACTGACACTTTATTAAAAACAGGGCAAGTTACACTGCTTGTTAAACCTGTCTCTCTTGAAGGGTTTGGTCCTAATTACTTTGCCAGGCTTTTTATCTGTTTGAATATTGTTCCCCTATTTTTTTAATTCAGCTATTTATAGGCAAATAATATGGTATTTCTCCTCTTTAAAATATGTCAATATGTGTCTTTTTAGTTTTAAGTTCTTGGACATCCCTACTTAGAATGAGAAGACTCAACTTTGATGTGGCAGTTGCCTTTGTGTCAGAGATGTCTCTTGGGTGGTCCTTAATAAGTTCAACTAAACTGGCCCATGCTGTGAGTCTTTCAAAAAGTCACAACTGTCACATGCTCTGCCACAACTTTCTGAGGTTAGCAGTTAAAACGTGAACTTCTTGTGGACACTTATGCTGAGCAGCTGCCATGCAGATGCACTTTACCACGAAAACCAAAAAGCACATCCCAGACTAGGTTTCAGGAGAAAAAAAATAGACCAAAACCAGATCAACAGACCAAAATAAACCAAAACTACTGACTGCCCTGGACCATGAGTAAACCCTTGCGCTGAGCAGAGGGACCTTGTCTCTCGCATTCCCCCAGTGCTGCCTCTCATCGTGCCAAAAAAGCATGACTTGGAAAGGCTGTGCCAGAAATGCAGAGAGGAGAAGTAGTGGAGTGAGATCCCAGAGTGCTGGAGGCCAGGGAATAAACTTAATCTGATTAATTTGGCTTAATCTCCTATGGAGAAAAGATCAGCAGTCAACACAGTGAAAAAAATAGGGTAAGACGCAAGCAAACAAATCTAGCCCACAGAATTTAAGAGCATACAAAAGTCACCCCTGATTTGTCTCTTTTGGCACAGAGTGAGATCTCTAATAGAGAGAGAAAGTGGTTGGTTGATGCACATTTACATCTTTATATGCTCATCTACATGTTTTATTGACTAGTGGAAGTTGATTTTCATGTGTCAACTCAATCTGCAGTTTTGACTTCAGTCGTTCAAGACAGCCCCAAGTCTATCCCAAGTTCCTATGCAAGTTCCTGTGCAAATCTAGGCCAAAGGAGTGCTCATGCTTGAAACGCAGCACGCGAGACAGGTGCCATATGATGCAGGGGGTGAGAGGCCCAGGGGTGAAGCCTTGGGGAAGACAGAAGACTTATCAAGAAAAGAGGGAGCTTCAGTGCTTTAAGTGAACCTGAGTCTCTGCCCTTGAATTTGCTAGTGGATTGACTCTATTCTGCTGAAATATACTTACTTCGGACAAGAACAGTAAATATCACTGTGTAATTACTGTTTTCGCTTATGACTGAGAGAGTGTGCTTTCCAGCCTGTGTTTCTCTTATTTGGGAAAAAGCCAAGGATGTAACATACCTAGAAAACAGAAAATAAAGTTGGTTTTGTTATCTAGAAGGCAGTATAGAGCAGGTACAATAAAACAGTTGGCATCATGCCTGACAGCATGGAAATATTAATCAGAGATACTAGTATTCACTATTTACATAGTGCCATTCAACCCAAAGTGTTTTTATGAATTATTCTATAGTACAAATGGCATCACTGGTACCCAAGCACATGCTGAGCAGTCCTTAAGTGAATGGATTTCCTGAACTTAGGACAGCTGAGGGAAATGCTTTACCTACAGTCCTACCCTCTGTGTCCTGCTGAGGGAGGGAACAATCTGACCTTGGGTTTCACTGCAGTTGATGGTTGTGAGAACTGGGCTGCTGCTGCTGGCACCGTTACTGGTCTGCAATGTGACCTTGCCAAGTCACATAACTCTCCGTGATTCCATTTCTTTGACTATAAAATCAAATTACTTGCCTCGTGCATACTACAAAGTTTAGATTGATCAATGTCAGTAAACCTCCTGCAGATATCCATTGCATGTTGCAAAATATATTAAAAGAATTCATTTCATACTAACCTTTTGGGATCTTATGTGTAGATGCTCTGTGTACAAATATTTACACGACAATCAGTTAAGAACAGATAATGGTTAAGAAAGATGAGAATTTTACGAACATAATGTGTAACATGAAATTATACATTGTCAAGAGTCCCACAGAAAATATCTCACTTGCATCCTTAAAGAAATGATCTCTTTTTGGTTCAGTACATCCCTTGACTTACCGGTTCTCCGAGTCCAGTGAGGGTTTACAAGTTTGTTTCTCTTTAAACCACCAAAGGCATGAAATAATCCTTGAAATGTTCATTATCACTTTCAATTCAATATCTTCAAACACATTGACTTCCACATTTTTAATTGGTTCATAGATGTTCTCTGTTCCTTGAGAACTCAAATAACAACCAAGATCTTCTGAAATTTTAGAAATCTGTAAGGCAAGAAAATACATTGCTATGTAAATACTTAGATGTAAATATATATTTTCATATCTAAATGTTTTCTTCTGGAAAAGGCGTTCAAAAATTAATAATGCACTCTAATTCCCAAATCATATCAGGATATATCACTTTAAGATATAGCTTCTACTCTTAATAGAAATTATACAAAAACAACTTCTACATCATATGATTGCTTGTCCTTATCTATTTTGTTTTCATTTCTACTCTCAAACTTTTTATCCTCTACTTGGAAAGTGGAAAAATATTTTGCACAGACAAGATTATGAAAGTTGGTGAAATATTGCATAAAGCCTCATACCTGCGATGGAAGGAGTATGTAAATCATCAGAACTAGAACTGCCAGTCCAGAGAAAGCCAAGAGATGTTCACACATATGGCCACGATAGGAGGGAGCGTACTGTATTCTTACACTTCTAAGACTATTGACACAGCCTAATGGAGGGAACCCATCCATGACACCATGCACTTTTTTACTCTGCTTCTTACATATCAGAATTATTGATTATTTGCCCAGCAATGAGAAAGATCTCCCAAGACTGCCTCAGAACATCGGTCCTCAGGAGGTATTTTAATTGTGAGTCTCAGTTTCTTGATAATTCAGTTGTGTGCTGTCTCTTACTGATCTTCTGCCAGTTAGAAATTTGTAGTCAGAAGAGAAGAATGACATTTCTTAATTGATTACTGATGTGGCTTTGGTGTCTAAGCCTGGTTTAGCCCAGGCAGGGATTTCTGAGTATGTGGGAGTGGGAAGAGAGGGATGTTCAGCTTCCTGGTCATTCCCAACAGCTGTAGCAAAACCACTTTCATGTCAAGAGTTTGGCTGGGCTGTGTGTGTGGTCACCACTTCACATCATGGCCCTCTTAATCCCCACAGAGCATTTCTCTTTTAAATAAACATATTTTTTTTTATTGTTGTATTTCAACAATTTTGAGCAGTAATAAGGCTTAATGCGAGACAGGGAAGCAATTAGAAGTCCAGTTTTAGAGAAAACTTGATACATAACTCAGATCTAGTTCAAAAGGCATGCATTTCCTTCTAACTTTGCAGATATATTTGACTCAACCCTTTTTATTTTGATTATGACATCCCTGTAGCCTAAAGGTCCAGAGTGTTGTAATGGGAAGGTATTTCTGGAATGGACAGCAATATTTTATAAGTAACTAATTCTCTATTATTTCACCTTAGGAGATAATGATGTCTTTGGTGTTCTTGAACCTTCATTCTTCTGGCTGATAAATACACATGCAATCTCAGATATATTTTGATTCATTGCAGAAGTGAAAGTTAGTGCTATCACAACAAGAACTGTAAAACAGAAACAGAAAATAAATACAATCATCTTTTTCTCTTTGGTCAGGGAGAATCATTTTAATTGAAATAAAACACAACAAAACCCTAGAAAGGTTATACCTTTTTCAAAAATAGGCAAAAGGAGTGCATAAACATACTGTGTGCATTTGCAAACTGCTTTTGTGTATTGAAACTGTGTAAAAGTGCTATTCAGGGAAGCTCTCAAAAGTGTACTATTTGGAAATATATCATAAAATATTACAGAAAATGTCTAAAAGCAAAAACTTCTATGCCAGTCCATCTCAGGTGGCAACCACCAGCCTGATTTGCCCCAGTGGATGGCGCAGATGCCATTTGCCTTATAGATAAGGTGCCTCAGAGGCATGATCTCTTTGACAGGGGTACAAATGAGCCTTTCTGCAGGGACTACAGCTTGAAAAGTCATCACTTAGCCTCAAAGGAACAAAAGAGTAACCATGCCCCCACGAGTGCCTATAAATATGAAAGAGAGAAGTAAGACTACAGAACTCACTGGATGAAATGTGTGTTTTCTACAAGCCCCTAAGGCCAGCCCTTAGTTGTAAAAAAAGACACCGAATTACAAAATAACATCTCTCTGACTTTAAAAAATCCTGCCCTTGGATCTTGAATTTTGTTTTTCTTTTTTTCTAGACACTGAATTACAAAATAACAGCTCTCTGTTATTAATTACAAAATAAAGCTCTCTGACTTTAAAAAATCCTGCCCTTGGATCTTGAATTTTGTTTTTCTTTTTTTCCCCTCCTCCCCGCTCTTGAGATGATTGGGTATAGAGCAAGAAGGCGAGTTGAAAGGAAGAAAAAAGTAAATATATCAAGACGTGCTTCAAGGAGGAAAGCAATGAGGCCAAGTGGTGGAGGCAGCAGAAGTGGAGAAGGAAGAAGAGTTCCTGCTGTCTCTTTGACATTTGTGCCTACTGGAGATGCTTGAGCTCCAAACAACAGCTCTTTTCAGTCCTCCTGGCAAATGTGCCTTAAGACTCAGTCTTTCTCATTCAGGAACCCAACACAAACTTAGTTTTAGGTACTTAATGACATCAGCCTTCCAGAGTGTAGACATCCAATGAAGTAGATGTTCTTGCAAACCTCTGAAGAAGGTGCTGTCTACCTGTGAGTTGATCCCTAGGAAAGGTGTACCTGACTCCTTTGTGGAGGCCTTCAAAAGCACCTCTGCTCCTTCTTTGGTGATAAAGATAATGCAGGTACTTCCTGAGGCAGTGAGTGCCAGTGGGCAACTGAAATATGGGTATGCATTAGGTGTCTACACACTAACATGCTGTCTGTGCCAAATACACATACTTCACCCATGAAAGCTGTGTTTCCAGGCTCTCTCTCCAGCCTTTCACTAATCCCTCTCTGTTCAGCTTGTTCCAGTTTGGTTTATTGCCACTTTACCTTCCTTCCATTTTAAATCAGACTGTTTAGACCTAGCAGACTCACAGTCGGGGGCTCAGATGATGGAAACCAGCCAAGATCCACTGATTGCAAGGATGTATCAGCTAAAAACAGCTGCAAATATGGCCCAAAAGTTCAACTCATGCAGCCTATTGAGCACGCGCTCAGCTTTGTGATCTAAAAGTAGTTCTAGTTTCTGATCATACAAACTGAGCCAATTTATCCTTGGTATCTTCCACTTTGCTCACAGAAGTCCCTCCTTGCTAGCAGGATGCCTACTGCCTCAGGAGTAAAGGGGAGAGATACTTAAACATAAAAACCAATGAGGAAAACATTTTCTACTAAGATGTAGGCAGAAGCAGACAGATGCAGCAACCAAGCCATGAGAAAAACATGCAAACTAGATGTTTGATGAGCTGGAACTGCATCTGTACAGGAGAGGATGCTGGAGTACATGCTGGAAGAGGGAATAGTGAGGCTCCTGAGAACATGGTGGATTGAGGAGATAGGCAGGAGCATTTCTAGGAGATTATATTGAGTGATCTAAACTTGTGTAGGTCTTGGAGAAAAATATATTACACTGACCTAGAAGAAAATGACAACAGGCAAGAGCACAGAGCAGAAATGAAATCAAGAATGGAACTATTGAGAAATGGCAACAATCCAATTCACCATCCTTATTTTTCAGCTGTTAGTTGGCCTGTTCAGATTGCTGAAACTGCCTGCAAGTCAGTCATCCTCCTTAAAGTCCAAAATAAGAACAGCAGAGTTTTAAAATATTTGCACAGAGAACTCGACAAAGAAGATCAAATTTATAATATTCAGAATCATATCTAGCATTGTCAAACTATGGAAACTAAAACAGAAATAAATTGCTGCCTCTAAAAACTGTTTATTCATGTTCACTTTTCTTCTTCATTATATTTTTACAGGCTATACAAAAGTAAAAGCCACAGGATAAATCTTGTTCTGATCTAGTCTGCCAAACTTCTGGCTGCCACAAACTCAGGACTTCATGTAGGAGGGTAGGCACATACATGGGGAAATGTCTGCACGAATCAAAAGGCAGGATGACATTTAACAGCTCTGTTGCTCAGCAGAAGGGCGTAAACGCACCGGACAGATATCAAACAAGATGCTATTTTTAAAGATAGTTAAGCTGTCAGAGGGTTGGCCTAACAAAACTACTTTTATTTTCAGATGGGGCAGTGACTAAAGCAGCCTTCAAAAAAGTGAGAAAGTCACTGCAAAATAGGTTAATAGTCTAAAGGAAGAACTTACCAAAAGGAGAATGGCTGAGAAACTGGAGCATTTTGAAAGATGGAGAAAGAACCTTTCTCTTCAACTCAAACTTGTGTTTGCATTCAGCTCAGTGTGCTTTGTATTTTAAACAGCAATCAAACCCTTCTTAGACACAAAAAAAAATCTCCCATGCTGCTTTACAGGCCAGGAGATCTACAAAAAGTAGATTTTGCTTCTTTCTTTCCAAAATCATCTTCAAGATCATGGAAGATAGAAATATTCTTTTTTTCTTTCAGGAAAGCTACAGTTTTCCCACGGTTGTGTGCTGCCAGCTACCCAACATTTTAAAAAACTCACCAGAAGTCTCTAAACATGACAACACCAATGAGTCTGATGCACAGGGGTTAACTCTAAGAAAGCCACATCTTTGCATGTGTGGTTGCCCCCATGTCACACCCCCAAAGAAAAAGACCCAGAAGCCACTTCCACTCAATAATTAAATTTTAAAAAAATAAATAAATAAACAGAAGGAAGTAGGATAGGTAGCAAGAGCTGATTTTTGCTGAATTTCTACTTTTTGCCCAAATATTATTTCTCTCCAGTAAAACTTCATTCTCTTTGCTCACTCTTTAGCACACTGTCTTTCCTAGTCCTCTTCATCATTGCAACTTAAGTAACTCCACGGGTCAAAAAAATGCAAGTCCTGTGAGAGTTTATTCTCACGTGCTGATGCAGGAGCAGGGGGTGCTGCTCTGCATTGCAGAGTAATAACCTTATTTGAACAAGGTTTAGCCACACGCTAGGGGACAGGTGCCTAGTTGTGATGGTGGGACTAGGTGGGGAATGGCCAGGTCAGGACTAGTCATGGCCTAGGTCAGCACTAGGGAGCTAATCACAGCCAACTTCATGCAAACTGATTTGATTATTTACATCATGTTCAAGCATGATGGGCATTTGTAAGAAGAAGGGAAGGGAAGGGAAGCGAAGCGAAGGGAAGCGAAGGGAAGCGAAGGGAAGCGAAGGGAAGGGTTGGTCTACAGAGGGCAATTGCCCTCCAGGAGGGTTTGTTGGAAGGATACAATGAATCTCTGAACTTAAATCACTGTCGGAGTAGGAAATGAGTGAGAAGAGAGGAGATGGGGAGGTCATTGGTTTTCAGAAATGGTCTAATTAGACTCCGTGGACTGAATCAAAAGTAAAGGAACAGGAAGCCAGAGGCGGTGA